CACTGTTCACGTCAATCATACAAAATGCAAGTGACGGCTATTGATAAACCTAGTCTATTATCTGATGCAGCGACAACTCTATCGGTGGCGGTATAGATTTTCTGATTTCCATTCTGAGTTAGTTATTCATGCGTGCGCATTCTCATATTCATACTTTATTTATTAAATCTTCTCGCATCATATTGACCGTTCTTGTGGAAATTATTGTTTTCGGTGATACTGATAAAACACTGTAGATAGAACCTTTACAATAGGTGGGATATTAATGACACTATTGGACGGTATCCCTGTGGCTAAAAGCATTAAGCATGTTCTATGGAAATAGTTGAATCAATATCACAATAGTGTTGCAGCAATATTGTGGTACCTCACCCAGCCGGGGGCAGGGGTGGCTCAGTCGACTAAGGCGCCGCCATTCGCTGTGCAGAGTTGCGTCCCTTGGGCACGCCAGAAATATATGATTGTGGGTTCGAATCCTGATTCGCCCCGATTATGTTTCTAGCTTTGTCAGCACCATACCCGTGCTCGTGGGTTTCACCGAAGTGGTAAACGTCTGAGACCTGCATCACTTCAGGCTTTCCTCCCACATTAAGCTGACACGCCGGTCGGGTGGTTACTGAGTAGGACCCGGGTACCCACAGGACTACCCGGATCTGTGGTTAGTCACGTGATATATTGTTTAATGACAAAAATTATCTTAAACTCTATGGTTACACTACAAGTCACTAATGTTCGCATTTTTTTCTGACTATGCACCCATTCCTTCTGATTTTTCATATGGTTGAATAAACATATAACTTAATTTAACTTCAGTGTATGAATGACCAAATTGTTTAATACATGTATCTAAATACGTTTTGCCAGGGCTATGCTTAAAATGTTCCCAATCGGACATTTTGAGACATCTCCTGACACCTACAGTGGGTACCCGGGTAGGGTCGGGTAATAGGGGGGTGATTACCCTGCTAGTAAATTTGGACTCGCCCCAGCCTTATTGTGTGTCAATCCCCAGACTCGATTATTTACAGACCGCTGTCATATAGCTGAAATATTGCTGAATGCGGCGTTTAACAACAGACGAAACATGCAACACTTCCGTTTATTGTGATCATTCGATCGAGTGGCGGGCCGCTTGGCGAACTCGAGACCGTCATATCTACTTTCACGAGTGGTCGTGTTTGTTTCATCTCGCACTATCGTTTTGTCCAGTAGACATAAAGCATTATTCTGACATGCGTCTAATCCAAACATATTACCATGTGAAAATCTGAAAATAGTAAAATAGTTTAAAAACAAGCAGAACCAACTCACCCCATCATATTTCTTATCGACGGATTGTATTTACACCGCCGATTTCGAACGTCGAAAATCGAAACGTTACTACATTATAGACATCTTATCCTGAAATCTGAATCCCGTGAAGATTCCGGGGTAGAATAGGTCTTCAGCAACCCATGCTTGTCTCCCCCCGTGAAGATCCGGGGTAGGATAGGTCTTCAGCAACCCATGCTTGACTCCCACCGTGAAGATTTCGGGGTAGAATAGGTCTTCAGCAACGCATGCTTGTCTCCCCCCGTGAAGATTCCGGGGTAGAATAGGTCTTCAGCAACCCATGCTTGTCTCCCCCCGTGAAGATCCGGGGTAGGATAGGTCTTCAGCAACCCATGCTTGACTCCCACCGTGAAGATTTCGGGGTAGAATAGGTCTTCAGCAACGCATGCTTGTCTCCCCCCGTGAAGATTCCGGGGTAGAATAGGTCTTCAGCAACCCATGCTTGTCTCCCCCCGTGAAGATCCGGGGTAGAATAGGTCTTCAGCAACCCATGCTTGTCTCCCCCCATGAAGATTCCGGGGTAGAATAGGTCTTCAGCAATCCATGCTTGCCGTAAAAGGCGACTATGCTTGTCGTAAGAGGCGACTAACGGGATCGGGTGGTCAGACTCGCTGACTTGGTTGATGCATGTCATAGATCCCAATTGCGTGGATCGATGCTCATGATATCACTCACTGGATTGTCTGGTCCAGACTCGATTATTTACAGACCGCTATCATATAGCTGGAATATTGCTGAGTGCGGCGTTAAACGACCAACCTGAAATCTGTACCACAGCGATAACAATGATCACTGGCAAATTCATATAACATGAGAAATTATGTATAGTTCACTCATTTGCATTGTTTAGGCTAGCCATGGGCATTAATAAGATCGATAGAAAGGCATCTACTCTCGTTGTTGTATCCAATGTATATGAAAGGGACATCGCTTGCGTGTTGAAATGAATGATCCGTTAAATTGTGTTGGTTCTGGTTGTTTGGTTAACCACGATGAATCGAGAACACACTATCGCAGCTTGTGATACGGTCCCTCAGTGAGAAAAGACGACAAATTGTTCTGAACATGTATAGTATTGCCACAACTGCTGTGATAGACGAGGTAGTTATTGACGTAGTCGTGGGACGATCGCATCTCTGTCGTCAAGGTTGCTGCGGGTATTTACTGGCGTCGTCAAGGTATGCGCTGTGATGTTGACTGTTATGGATGACACGTGGTAGTTGAGGTAAAAGCTCTGCAACGTATCGAGTTCCATCGCTATCTTGGTAGGTTCTTTATAGAAGATCGATTCTTGGTAGATCGATTTATTCCACTCTGAAACACGGGTGACATGCAATAAGAGATTGTTTGTTTGGATATGTGTGGGGTTTGAGGGGGGTGGTTTGGGTAGGGTGGGATAGCTTAGAATGGCGGGTGGGGGAGGGAGATGGGTGGGTGGTTGTGTTTGGATGTAGAGGTGGGGACAGTGTGTGATGTGTGTTGGGGTATCCAGTGTTAGAAATTGGCACTCGTCCTGTAGTCCTTGCCAAACTGCCCAATAGATAAGGTATCATAAGGACTAGAAGAAATTTGCCATTTTTAAGTGTTCTGCTATATGTTATCATTGCAGGACTAGTGGACTGAAAATGTTAGTTTCTACCGCTGGGTGTCTGTGGGGTTTGGGGGTGGTGATTGGGGTAGGGTGGGGTGGTGGGGGGAGGGCGATGGATGGTTGTGTTTGGATGTAGAGTGAGTGAGGTTTTACGCCGCATTAAGCAATATTCCAGCAATATCACACATTGGACCCATGTCGGGTTTGGATGTAGAGGTGGTGACAGTGTGTGATGTGTGTTTGGGTATGAGGTGAGGTGAAATTGGGTTTAACGTCGCGTCCAAGATTATTGCACTTATATAGTGACGTGCATGTACGTGTGTGTGTTTGTGTGGCTGCTTGTACTAGTCCGGACTGATGTCGATTTATAGTGCTAGCTCACTGAGATACCATGCCGCAGTTTAACATGAATATCCCACTCAGACACAGTATACTGACTCCGAGCCGACCAGTCCTTGTTTTAGCACCTTAATGCCGAGCGCCAGACAGGGTGACAACAAGTACCATCTTTTGGTATGACGCGGCCGGGGTTCGAACCCTGGACCTTCCGCTCTCCGGGCGGACGCTCTGCCACTGGACCACGGAGGCGGTCTGTTTGGGTATGATATCTGTGGGGTTTAGGGGTGGTGATTGGGGTAGGGTGTGGGGTTGGTCGTGGGGGAGGGCGATGGATGGGTGGTTGTGTTTGAGTGTAGGGGTGGTGATAGTGTGTGTTTATGTGTGTTGTCTCCAACAGTTGATATAATAAAACGTTTAAACATATAAGATACCGTGGCATTCGGTACCAGTCGCCCTATACCCAGGGGTAATACCCAGGGCGGCAATGAATTAATCAGGGTATCACACCAATCGTCAGGTAATGTCAGACAGACATTGATGTTTGCTTCATAGCGGTGCCGCCAGATGGTGTTTTATTTTTAATGTGGAAGGCTTGCTAAGCTGTGATCCCTGGGAATCCATTGCCAACATGGACACTCGCCTAATGCTATCAAGGTGACCTATGGGGTGGAAGCAAGAGTATACTAGGGGTGGTAAACAATATGACAAAAAACTGCGCATATATCCTTTCTGTGTGCCAATACTCTACCTGGCCACCCGTCCCGAGGCATCAGGAGCACGAGGCAAGTCATTTTCCAGCTGTATGGCGGCGGTCTGTAAATAATCGAGTCTGGACCAGACAATCCAGTGATTGATATCATGATTCATTGGTTGGTTTGTTGTTTAACGTCGCACTCAGCGATATTCCAGCTGTATGACGGCGGTCTGTAAATAATCGAGTCTGGACCAGACAGTCCAGTGATTGATATCATGATTGATTGGTTGGTTTGTTGTTTAACGTCGCACTCAGCAATATTCCAGCTATATGACGTAAAATGCGGTCCAGACTCAATTATATACATATCACCATCATATAACTTGAATATTGCCGAGTGCGGCGTTAAACAAACAAACAAACAAACAAACAAACAAACCACAAGCTGCTTATTTCATCATTAACACTATACAAACCTGTAAACAAGATTACAAAATTGGTAACATCGTTCAGCGCAATAGTACAAAACAACCATCGCCGATTCAGTCAATTAGCAACCAGTCGTTCCTTAATGGGTGTGCTTTAATTCATAATTCATAAACGCAAAAACAATTTGTTTGGTGTATCAATCAAAAGACATGAAATTACTTGCAGTTTATTATTGTTTCGTAAACATGGTCCCAAATACGTTGTATCGAATTAACCTGTAATGCACAGGCTGATATAAACGCAATACATGCAAAAAATCATACATGTAAGAATATTAATCAAAAGAAGAAGGATTAAAAACAATTAGATAAATATTTTGTAAGCTTTAAGCTCATGGTCACAAGGAATCATCTTTGGCAATATTAACCCTGGGGTTGTGTAAATAATAAAAACTCATCTCTTTCCAAGACCAAGAGGGTAGTATCGACAATATATACAATCGTGACATATAAACAAATCACTCAAAATCACACACAGTGATTGCTATCTGTGGAATAGTTCCGAGGAGTGGATGGATTCAGATCACATCCTCATTCTGTACCTTCTTTGTTGCAGGTGCGAACTGGATTTTGTACAACATATAGATCTGCAGCCGACGGAGCTGTGACGCAGTGTGCTGTATTGATGTCGCTGATGTGGGTGGATGTTTCGTTGTGAAGTGTTGTCATGTTCGCAGTGAACGGCGTATCTTTGCCAAGGAGAGAGGCACTGTTGATTCATCCTTAACAACAACAACAACAACAACAACAACAACAACAACAACAACACATGAACCAGAATTGTAAAATTGTGTCTTTGGTACTTCTTCGGATGAGTTAGAAAAAGCAGCCAGGCTGAGATCATCTCTTGTGGGTGTGTGTGTTGGGATTCCTGGAGCTATTTCACGAGATTTCACGAGATTTCACGAGAAGTGTGACGTGATGGAGCCCCCGCGTATTCTGAAGACGTTTCTGTACGTAATTGCTTTCTTAGCTTTACTGATGATCGTCAACATCTTGACGTCTGTCAACTACCTCTACACCGTCATTAACGTATCGCAGTTGTCATGGATGAGCGCAAACAAGAAGACATTTACAGGAAGTGACGTCACACATAACGCTACCCTCTCTGTAGGTACATTGAAAACAATTGAAGGGACTGTTTCCAATGCGAACACAAAACTTTTTTTCACAACTATCAAACCGGTTGTGACAACTACGAAACCGGTTGTGACAACTACGAAACCGGTTGTGAAAAGTACTCCCGACGCAGGGGTCCGTCAGGATGTTTGTACAGACTGCTTCGTTCATAACTTCACATACGTGATCCAGAATACAGCAATCTGCAGCCAGTCCCCCAATGTTACAATTGACTTATTCATGGTGATCCTGACGATACACGGCGACAGGGCACAGAGGGACAATATTCGTGCAACGTGGGCATCCAATTCCAAGAACAACACAGGCAACGTAAGATACGCCTTCCTCTTAGGGAAGATTGATGATGAGAAGAAGATGCTAGCAACGAAAAACGAGAGCGCGAAATTTGGGGATTTGATTATGGAGGATTTCCGCGATTCCTACGCCAACCTCACCTATAAGACAATCATGGGCATGAAATGGGCCAGTTTATACTGCGCGCGCGCAAGGTTCTTCATGAAAACAGACGACGATATGTGGGTCAATGTACCGGAAATGATAAAAATGTTGAACCAAAGAGAGGCTGTCCTTCAAAAGGTTGTGGGCGGATCATGCCACTTGGCCGCTGGTCCGATCAGGGATCAAAGATCCAAATGGTACGCCAGTTTTAAGAGCTATCCACACAAAAGTTACCCAGGTTTCTGTTCTGGGACGGGGTACGTTACGAGTATGGCTTTGACCAAGAAGCTGTACGAAGTGTCTCCTAGTGTCCCATTCTTTCACTTGGAGGACGTGTACATCGCACTGTGCATCAGGAAACTTGGGCTGACACTGTTGGCCCTACCAGGCTTCCATAATTATCGGACGGCGTTGAATCCTTGTGAAATGAGGTCTTCTAAGATTCTGACGAGTCACGAAGTCCCTACTGACTTCTTACGGAAAGTGTGGACTGCCAAGTGTTAGAGGTATTTGGTAGTACTGCAAGTGTCTTGATACTGTGCCAAGTGGGAAAGCTTTGCTTTGGTCCAGGGTAAGGTGTTGGAAATTGTGGGTGACAAAACATTATCCAAGTTCACTCTGGAACAAGTTTGGAAGAGGTAGTAGTTTTTTTGAACTCTGCTTTTGTGGTAGAAAGGTTTGTTTCAGTTTTGCTTAACGTTTGGAAATTTTGTTTGGCATATTTAGCTCAGTGTAAAGTGTTTGAATATTGATTATAGTTTTGGTTTTATTAATGGAAATGTGATGTGCATTGTATCAGGTCTGCATAATGTGTGATATGCATTGTATCAGCTCTGCATTGTGTGTGATATGCATTGTATCAGCTCTGCACTGTGTGATATGCATTGTATCAGCTCTGCATTGTGTGATTTGCATTGTATCAGCTCTGCATTGTGTGATATGCATTGTATCAGCTCTGCATTGTGTGATATGCATTGTATCAGCTCTGCATTGTGTGTGATATGCATGGTATCAGGTCTGCATAATGTGTGATATGCATTGTATCAGCTCTGCATTGTGTGATATGCATTGTATCAGCTCTGCATTGTGTGATATACATTGTATCAGCTCTGCATTGTGTGATATACATTATATCAGCTCTGCATTGTGTGATATGCATTGTATCAGCTCTGCACTGGGTGTGATATGCATTGTATCAGCTCTGCATTGTGTATGATATGCATTGTATCAGCTCTGCATTGTGTGATATGCATTGTATCAGGTCTGCATTGTGTGTGATATGCATTGTATCAGCTCTGCATTGTGTGTGATATGTATTGTATCAGCTCTGCATTGTGTGATATGCATTGTATCAGCTCTGCATTGTGTGATATGCATTGTATCAGCTCTGCATTGTGTGATATGCATTGTATCAGCTCTGCATTGTGTGATATGCATTGTATCAGCTCTGCATTGTGTGATATGCATTGTATCAGGTCTGCATAATGTGTGATATGCATTGTATCAGCTCTGCATTGTGTGTGATATGCATTGTATCAGCTCTGCATTGTGTGATATACATTGTATCAGCTCTGCATTGTGTGATATGCATTGTATCAGCTCTGCATTGTGTGATATGCATTGTATCAGCTCTGCATTGTGTGATATGCATTGTATCAGCTCTGCATTGTGTGATTTGCATTGTATCAGCTCTGCATTGTGTGATATGCATTGTATCAGCTCTGCATTGTGTGATATGCATTGTATCAGCTCTGCATTGTGTGATATGCATTGTATCAGCTCTGCACTGAGTGTGATAAGAGATGCTACAGCACGACAGCCCTTGCCTCACACTGTTGCCACCACTTGCAAGACAATCGCACGAGCATCCATTGGGAGATGCATTTCTCATGATTACCCCTCGTGGTACAGTGATTTCATGTTTAGAGTTGCAAGTGTCCCCATAAGGCTGACCGAGTTGGCGGATTCCAACGTATGTATGGTGCCTCAAATCCAAGTTATCTTACAGGTTGGTGAACGGAATTGCCACGCACTAAAAGGCAGCTCTCGATGTCACTGCTGAGAATAATTATATCAACATTATTTTTGTGTGTATATTTTTATATGTGTAACCTGTGGGTCGTGATATGATCACAAGACGTCAGTGAATGAATGATCAGTCATAAAGCATATAACTGGTCGACGAATCTTCACACGATAAATCTTTATCATCTCGAACAGTACAGTTGATCAAAGTAATATCGTTCAGATGAACACGTTTTCGGATAACACAATAACGGCTGTGAATGTCCCAGGAATGTACACGTCAAATCCTTTTATTCTTATATGATTATTACATGTTTTTTCAAAATTACTATTTCCCCCAAAATTGCAAATTTTGGTTTATGGTAAAAGTTGGAATAAAAAAGTGTATACACATCTTTTCCTGAATCTCAGAAATAAATTTGAGTAATAGACGATTAATATATTCATATAAATACGATATCCAATCTGTCATTTAAGATTACATGCAACTTGGAGAGGTGCACAGTTCATAAGCCCCGTGTAGGTGTCTACTATATCTCTGTACTGACCTTTTTAATACCATAATTTAGAGAAAAGAGCATATTTTCCTTCAAGAAGTAATATTAGAACTTAAAAGTAAGAAGATAGAAATTAACTGATGAATTACATGTTGACCGTCTCGAAATGTTTCGTCACGTGCATCTTGCACAATAACCACATGTAAGATGAGAAAGTATTGAAAAGCTACTTGACCTTTTACCTACCGGTCACCATGAACCTTGTACACTGAAACCCCGTTAGTCAGGAACCTCTGCATTCCGGACGTGTTAGGAACATTACTCCGTTACATGTATTCAGTGATTCTGACGTGTTGGGGACATTACTCCGATACAGTGATTTAGTTATCCGGACGTGTTGGGAACATTACTCCGATACAGTGATTCAGTGATCCGGACGTGTTGGGGACATTACTCCGATACAGTGATTCAGTGATCTGGACGTGTTGGGAACATTACTCCGATACAGTGATTCAGTGATCTGGACGTGTTGGGAACATTACTCCGATACAGTGATTCAGTGAACCGGACGTGTTGGGAACATTACTCCAATACAGTGATTCAGTGATCCGGACGTGTTGGGAATATTACTCTGATACAGTGATTCAGTGATCCGGGCGTGTTGGGAATATTACTCTGATACAGTGATTCAGTGATCCGGACGTGTTGGGAACATTACTCCGATACAGTGATTCAGTGATCCGGGCGTGTAAGGAACATTACTCCGATACAGTGATTCAATGATCCGGGCGTGTAAGGAACATGACTCCGTTACAGTGATTCAGTGATCCGGACGTGTTGGGAACATTACTCCGATACAGTGATTCAGTGATCCGGACGTGTTGGGAACCTTACTCCGATACAGTGATTCAGTGATCCGGACGTGTTGGGAATATTACTCCGTTACAGTGATTCAGTGATCCGGACGTGTTGGGAATATTACTCCGTTACAGTGATTCAGTGATCCGGACGTGTTGGGAATATTACTCCGTTACAGTGATTAAAGTGATTCGGACGTGTTGGGAATATTACTCCGATACAGTGATTCAGTGATTCGGACGTGTTGGGAACATTACTCCGTTACAGTGATTCAGTCATCCGGACTAGGGACAGCACAGTCTGGATTACCTAGTGTTTGTTTCTTTGTTGTTTAACGTTGCACTCAGCAGTATTCCAGCTGTGTAATGGCGATTGATTACCGGGTGATAAACACATTGTCAGCCGTACGTTCATAAGACACCTGTGGCGGCTATGGTAGGTGTTCAATAGATTACTTATTTCAACCTTGTACTCCGATGACATCGTGGACAACTTATACCTGTAATTACCTGTATTATAACTGTCGCGGACAGACCGTTCCATTATATCTTTGTGTCATATGTTACTTTAAGGCTGGAAGTCTTTCGTTTACGTTCAATGGGGGCCTTTTTGACATGGCAAATCTGAGGATATACATTTATGAGTATGATATCGACCAGTGTTCAGTCGTTATCGATATGTTAATATTCACAGAAGATAATAACCCATATAAAACTGGTTGGTCGGACTTTGATTCAATATACTTCGCCTACTTGTGACCTCAACAGAGCGCGGCAGGCGAATGGACTCGCCCTTTGATTAGCTCCTTATCCGAATGGTCGACCTTAGCAATGTCAGCACACTTCCGAAATCTGTAGTTTTTAAACCTCATTTCAACAACTCTTTACTGGGTCAGTTGAAGTATTGTTGCCCAGCAGACATTAGGTTGGCTCAAGTTTGTTAAGGAATCAAAACTAGAAATGGCCGCGAGTCGGCCATTGCATTCAGAACTACTTCCGTGAGTGATTGGGGGTGACATTTTTGATGTTTTTTTCTGTGGGTTCAGATTTTACCTGATTGGTTGAATATAAGATATTTCAACATTATGTATAGTAACTTTGGAAACTGAATCAAACTTGTGTAATATGTAGTATAAGAGTATTGATGTTTTGCTTTGACAGATGTACATAAGTATGCATTTATAGGGTCATATTGTATTTGACCAGCTTAATTTCAATCTGATTAAATCACACCTTAATTCTCGCTTCCGCTAAACAAAGATATGAAGACATCCCATTAGGGGTCACGCCAGAACGACCTTTTATCCGACTAATCAGAGCTTTGCTTACCAGATTATGATAGTGACAGTCGGAATGTGATTTCTAATCATGCAACCTCGAAAACTTTAACACGGGGTATTCTGAACGATTGTTACGGGTTAAACGTCAGAATCCATACAGTCTAGAGACCATCTATTAGCCATTCCAGAATGTTCTTTTGTCCGCGTATCTCAATCAACGCAAAACCATTTTGAGGTGAACTACGTACGTTAACAGTAATAACTTTACGAACTGTTTATTTCATCATTAACTGAAAACCCCTGGACAACAGTATGAATGAGTATCGTTTTGCACCGCTTTTAGCAATATCCCAGCAATATCACGGCGGGGGACACCAGAAATGGGCTTCACACATTGTGCCCATGTCGGGAATCGAACCCGGGTCTTCGGCGTGACGTCAGTGACATCGTTCAGATCAATACACCACAAGCCCCGCCCATTTTATTATCAGCCAATCAGGAAACTGTAGTCCGTAAGTAGGCGTAAATAGGAGTTAAGTTGTTTTTGGTTAATGCATGACCCAAGGCTTTCCTGGTGTTAAATATATTTTGATCGTGAAAAGAACAGATCTTTTGTAGATATTGTTTGGTTGATATGCTATGAAAATACAATGATCAGCAGTATCTCCCGTTGATGACTGATCTATCAGTATATGTTGGGTGTCGTTACATCAGATTGTCATACAGTCGGGTAAATATATGGGTAACGCTAATTTTCACTGCGTTATCATTTGCAGAAGCCCGAGGTCTTCCATTAACTGTCCAACGAAGGTGTGCAGCTGAAGAGAGCGAGGGCTTCTGCAAATGATAATGCCCTGAAAAATAGCGTTACCGTTATTAAAGCTAAAATGGATAGAGTTTGTTATCAGATGATAATAAACAACAATATCGGTTTTGAAACATTTATAGCAATTAACACGCAACGAATGTTACTGGCCCACCTTTACAAATATGGAAACGTCATAGAACAAACCAGATGACGTCACTATTGAACATCATTATGACGTCACCTACCAACGGGCGTGATAATGGCCCGTCCTCAAGCAATATAAGGGCAATATCAATTTACAGTGGCCCGCTCATTTCTGATAACATGCGGGCAGTTTAATGATAATTCTATCCATTTTAGCTTTAAAACGAATTTACATTGGTTTCATTTTCAACGGCGATGTGCTGAGGAAAATAATTTGCTCTTCGAAGTCATTCATGTATTGTTCATGACATATGTTCACCATTTCATTATCAATAAAACAACGATAAAACACTTGAGATTAAGTTGTTCTTCGTCAGCAGTATTATAGTTATATCACGGCCGTTACCAGCAATAGTTTAACTGTAACATCACGACGGCCAGGCATAACCAATATTAAAGTTATATCACGGCCGTTATCAGCAAAAGTTTAACTATAACATCACGACGTCCAGACATATCCAATACTATAGTTATATCACGGCCGTTACCAGCAATAGTTTAACTGTAACATCACGACGGCCAGGCATAACCAATATTATAGTTATATCACGGCAATTACCAGCAATAGTTTAACTGTAACATCACGACGGCCAGGCATAACCAATATTATAGTTATATCACGGCAATTATCAGCAATAGTTTAACTGTATCATCACGACGGCCAGGCATAACCAATATTATAGTTATATCACGGCCGTTACCAGCAATAGTTTAACTGTATCATCACGACGGCCAGGCATAACCAATATTATAGTTATATCACGGCCGTTACCAGCAATAGTTTAACTGTATCATCACGACGGCCAGGCATAACCAATATTATAGTTATATCACGGCAATTACCAACAATAGTTTAACTATAACATCACGACGTCCAGACATAACCAATATTATAGTTATATCATGGCAATTACCAGCAATAGTTTTACTGTAACATCACGACGGCCAGGCATAACCAATATTATAGTTATATCACGGCAATTACCAGCAATAGTTTAACTGTAACATCACGACGGCCAGGCATAACCAATATTATAGTTATATCACGGCAATTACCAGCAATAGTTTTACTGTAACATCACGACGTCCAGACTTAACCAATATGTTAAACAGCAAACAAATAAACAAACATCATCAATTGGCTACCATTGGCTACACATGGCTATATATCTTATTAAAGAAGATCCCTAAAGCGCGACTCACACGGGTCGACACGTAGTAACGGCATACCGATTTCCATACATTGTACAACATTTTTTTATGTTTTATAGAGACCATGATTTATTTTTTTCTGTGTCTGTACAAAGTCGCCTCTTTTTTTACTTGCCAGGAAGGATGATTCCATCATACTTCTGCTGGAACCATTTCGGTGGTTGTAACGAATATCGACTAACCGATTTGCTAAGACAAAACAAAAACAACCCACATGATTGCATGTTACATGCTTTACCACATATTGTTTTACGCCGCACTCAGCAATATTCCTGCTATATGACGGCAGTCTGTAAATAATCGGCCAGACAATATAGTGACTACAATGAAGATGAATGTTTTTGAATTCAGCATTAGATTATGCATAATACTGACGTGAAAAATAAAAGGTTAGCCTTAACCCTATAAATTGTACTTATAAATAAAACACATAATAATAATAATAATAATAATAATAATAATAATAATAATAATATTATTATTAAAATAATAATAAAAATAATAAAGTCCATTTCTTCAGCGCAATTTCCGTCTACGTAGTCGCTCATAGCGCCTCAGGGCGCACGGGTGGCCCAGTCGTCTAAGGCGCCGTGATTCGCTGTGCAGAGTCGCGTCCCTTGGGCACGCCAGAAACCTATGATTGTGGGTTCGAATCCCGGTTCGCCCCGATTATGTTTCAAGGTTTGTCAGCACCATACCCGTGCTCGTGGGTTTCACCGAAGTGGTAAACGTCTGAGACCTGCATCACTTCGGGCTTTCCTCCCACATTAAGCTGACACGCCGCGATATAACTGGAATATTGTTAAAAGCGGCGTTAAACCCAACTCACTCACTCACTCATAGCGCCTCACACAGGGTCATACACACATCTAAAGAGATAAGTCTTTAGTTTTGTCTTGAAAGTGTCCAGAGTTGGAGATTGCCTAATTTCCACTGGAAGGGAATTCCAGAGCACAGATGCAGTGTGAGCAAAAGTTATGTTGCCGAATGCTTTGAGTGAGACCATAGGTACACTAAACTGTAGTTTATGTGCTGATCTGAGATCGCGTGATGGCTGGTGTGGGGTAAGAAGTTCACTCAGATAGGAAGGTGCTGTACTATAGTAGCACTGGTATGCAATGCACACGACTTTGTATTCAATCCTAGATCTTATTGGAAGCCAGTGTAATGATTTTAATAAAGGAGTGACATGGCTAGACCAACCAACAAGTCAAGCTATACTTAAATACAAGTACACTGTAAATACAATTCAGTGTAAACTGTTCAACAATGGTATAACCCTGAATTTATGAGGACCACCTTCTACGTTTAGCCAAATAGAAATGTCAAACTTCACATCACTTCATCATCATGTTTTTAAAATACACGGTATAGACATCCGCAAACAAAGCAATGAATAACCTTCTAACCTTAAACACACTGGCAAGAAACCAATTCAAATGTAACACCGTAAATCTGGAAAGTTTTGCGCCATTGAGTTATTGCGATTGGGTAACAGTATTTTTAACTGCGTGTGAAAAGTTTCCCGACACCTTAGGGATGAGATTACCGAAGATGAAGGTTGTATTTGCACGTGTTATTTCTTATGAGTAGGAAGCAGCATTCTGTTTGTTTGTTTGTTTGTTGTTTAACGCCGCAGCTATATGATGGCGGTCTGTAAATAATCGAGTCTGGACCAGACAATCCAGTGATTGACATCATGAGCATCGATCCACGCAATTGGGATACGATGACATGCATCAACCAAGTCAGTGAGTCTGACCACCCGATCCCGTTAGGCGCCTCTTACGACATGCATAGTCACCTTTTACTGCAAGCATGGGTTGCTGAGGAACTATTCTACCCCGGATCATCACGGGTAGTCAAGATGTATTGATTACTGAATGTTTGACAGGTTTGTGAGGTGAGGTGAAATTGGGTTTAACCTCGCGTCCAACTCATGTAGCGTCGTGAAGCAATAGCGAGTGTGTGTCGCTCGCAGTTTGCTCGTAAAACTTGCCATATTTGCAACTCTAAGTAAACCATGGCATATAAAACTAACAATGTGACCACAGCAGAGAGTAAAGCAGAGGGATCAGAGTGAGTGAGCGAGTGAGTGAGTATGGTTTTACGCCGCTGTTTGCAACATTCCAGCAATATCACGGCGGGGGACACCAGAAATGGGCTTCACACATTGTACCCATGTCGGGAATCGAACCCGGGTCTTCGGCGTGACGAGCGAATGCTTTAACCACTAGGCTGCCCGACCGCCCCCAGAGGGATCAGGAGGTCACACTACCAAACTGTATATGAACTCTACCTTCCTAAAAACAACAAAAACCCTTTAAAATGTTATAAAAAGCATGGTTGTTGAGTTCACTGCCAGAGAACGCCACGGCGGTCAGGTCGTAGTGCGTCCGCCCGTAGAGCGGAAGGTTCGGGGTTCGATCCCCGGCCACGTCATACCAAAACCTGGCGCGCGGCATTAAGGGGCTCATACCAGAACTGATCGGCTCGGAGTCAGTATACTATGTCTGAGAGGAGTAATCATGTTATACTAGTACAAATATCCACATGCACGCACGCACAAACACAGGTCGCAATATAAGTGCAATAATCTTGGACGCGACTCCATTTAACCTCTCCACACTGCCAGAGACATTGTCAAAGTTGTGTTTATGAGATCTGTTCAACGTTGAACATTAACCAGAAACCTGAGTGAGTGAGTGAGTGAGTGAGTTTGGTTTTACGCCGCTTTTAGCAATATTCCAGCAATATCACTGCGGGGGACACCAGAAATGGACTTCACACATTGTACCCATGTCGGGAATCGAACCCGGGTCTTCGGCGTGACGAGCGAACGCTTTAACCACTAGGCTACCCGACCGCCACCACCCCAAGAAACCCGAAATGCATATGGGTGAGTGAGTGAGTTAAAGTCTAACGTCACAGAAATACATATGGGTGTCTGTACATGAAGAATAAAGCAACAAAACAAACTTGCTTCCTGTTAGCCTCTGCTACATACAATGTAGGTATAATAACATTGAGTCATGTATCTCAACACAAGGAAACAATTGTGCATTTTATAATTGCTGTACAGGTGTACGCCAAGGAGAAAATCTACCTCCGCTATTATTTTTATTGTTTATAAATGACGTCGAATCATATCTAAACACTTCTGTCACTAATGGGGGACTATGAACAGTAGGCACAAGCCATGAACAAGGCATGAACAAGGCATGAACAAGCCATGAACAAGGCATGAACAAGGCATGAACAAGCCATCAACAAGGCATGAACAAGTCATGAACAAGGCATGAACAAGGCATGAACAAGTCATGAACAAGGCATGAACAAGGCATGAACAAGCCATGAACAAGGCATGAACAAGCCATCAACAAGACATGAACAGGGCATCACGCTCCTGCCCTCGTCCTACCCGCTACGGGGAATTTGGCTGTTAATATTACACGCGTTTACCAATCGATGCCAGGCATCTCATACTCCTGGGAATGGTCTGTGAGGAGTTGGTCACTCAAGCGGGGAAGGGTGAGGTGGATTTGGGGGAGGAAGTGAGGGATGGGTTCGAGGCATACTGTTGTTTTTTGAGTCCTAAACATGATTATATCTCATTCCTGCAATGAATGTTCAAATGAATATTACCACTCCTGCATTCATTGTGTCTATACATTATTGAGGTATGCCCCAGCGAATTGACCCGCCAGATCATATGTACTTGGCAACAGAGTACCCGGACTCAGAAATCGATGAATATACTGTCATCCATCAGTACTCCTGGTCTGGTTCACACAAGCCCTTACCAAGGATAACGAACCACGTTTTACTAACTAGTCACAACTCAAGCCCTGTGGTTTGTGTCACCGGCCCCTACCATGACTAACGTAGAATGAGGTGTTGACAGAGCAGGGTACCGTCGGTTAGTTTCAAATCAATACCTTTCGTAAAGACCGCAGTTACGGCGACATGCACAGCTTACTCTGCACGATATCGATAAACTATCTCAATAAAACAATACATACGGCGTGCACAGGCGTGTTTAGACCTGGTGGTCCAACAAGTGCTTTGTCCCATGCTCACCA